CAGAGGCAAAGTTGCCTGACCAATGACCAGGCAAGACACAGTGAAGATCTTTTGTTTCATTTATTGCAGTAAGTGGGGAGAAGCTTTCAAAACCAGGTTCTCTCCAAACATCTTGATACGTTCCCTGCACTGGCTGCCCATCTCTCCTCGTTCCCCATTGGCTGACTACTATGAGGTTACATTCTCTTTGACCACCTTCTACACATTTCCCGCTACCCTCCGCAAACATACATTGCATGTGCATTTAAATGAGCGGACAATATATGCAAGGTGTGTCAGATAATATTCAATAGTCTTACTGAGCATGCTCTTTCAGATTGTTTTCGAGTTTCTGGTTATTTTATGGATACTTAGAACAATAGGTTCTTTCCTATTACTCAGTTCTTTGAGTTTCATCTTCCCTGTTTTTTCAAATTGTTTTGTTTTATCTTTAAGCTAGCTATTTCTTATTGCAGCTACTTCCTCTTACAATTTTAATTTAATTTAATTTAATTTAATTTAATTTAATTTAATTTAATTTAATTTAATTTAATTTAATTTAATTTAATTTAATTATTTAATTTCCAATTTATATACCGCCCTTCTCCCTGAGGACTCAGGGCGGTGTACAGCCAAGATAAAAAACATAGAATACAAATATTAAAACATTTAAATATATATATAAATTTGGCCCGAAAGTTAAGAATCACAGACTAATTAAAAGAATTTCAAAATTTTAAATTTTGAAGACCTTTCACTTACTCCTATCACGACTGAACCCCAAGCCGACCCTAGCTCAGCCGAAGTGTCTTTTGCAGAGGAAGGTCAGGCATGCAACCCAAGCTCCCTGCTGTGATGATGGACTTTATGAGCTGCTTTGACTAAAGAGCCTGCAAGCAGGGTCCCTGGAACTCGAAAGAGCCCCAGAGCCACGGGGGTGGTGGAGATTCTGGTGCTATGGCCATTGTGCCCTTCCATGCCTTTCTCTGCTGGGTGTAAGCAAACGTTTCTCGCCACCCTTGGTCCCAGATGGGGCTTGCTCTTATATTTAAGACACTTATGCAGATCTGTCTCCACTATCAAAATAATGTTTAAAAATTAAAAATAAGAGTTTAACTGAGTTCAGGCAATGGCACAACACATAATGTGTGTGCCAAATAAATCAAAAGGTGTCCCAGACCTCTCAAGCCAATAACTTCGGCCACTAGTGTGTGCACATTTTGGTCACAATCACATACCGTGACTGACACCACACCAGACAAAACCTAGGCAGAAACAGATCTGAGGGCAATTAATTGTTAATCACAGTTGACCCATATGCCAGTTTCCCGCTAGCATCACAGAGTCTTTCTCTTGGCAATCAAGGCTCCCCGTAGGTAAAGCAGCCAGGCCGGCTGTTAGCAGACCCTCCCTCTGTCCCCAGAAGGGCCCACAGGAGCAAGAGCAAGAGACCTATGGGCACTGTCCTTTGGTCCATTTCTGGTGCCTACATGACAGCCGCCACTCACATGCAGCCACCTGGTCCGTGGAGCTTGTGGAAGCGATTCTCACTTTGGATGGGCTTTTTTAATTTAAAAAGTAGCATTTCATCTGTATTGAAAGAGGCCTTTGCAAGAGACTTTGAGGGCAGGTTTTGGTTTGAGGCCAGGGCTTTAGAAGACGAGAAAGAAAAGCTTCATGACCTCATGTGCCTGATCCGGCTCAAATTCGCGTTTGGCTTCTGCAGGAAAACCAGCTGTGTGGTGTGAACTAGGCCACGGCACTAAGCTGCCTTGGGGCTGATTGGTTTGGGCATTGCGTGTCATCCGATGCCAGCAATTGTCACAATTTAATTTGGATTAGAGAATTAAATACGCGGTATCTCTAAGGAAAAGGCCTTTGCTTCTACCAGCTGTATCATACACGGGAAGCTTTCTGGAAAAAAGCTAACAGCCTGCTTGATGAGAGGCCGCCCACGTTCCTTTGTCTGGCATCTGGTGACATGAATCAATAAAAGCAGGAAAGGGCCATAAAATGTTGGTGTTAAAGTCAAAAATTCATTGTGTGTTGTTCAGCTGGCCAGGGCCCCAGAAAGCTACGGTGGGCTGTAAAATGCTTCCTGGATATTTCTGGGGAATGGAGGCTTGAGAATTGCCTGATCTAAGGCTGTTTTACTATTGAGAAGCAAAAGTGGTATTATCAGGTAATAAATTTTGGTCAGGCTAGAGTCATATATTACTCAGGATACAATTAGACCCATCACTTCTCTGAGAAGGGAAAGGTTTCTTCTGAACCATTTATTGTGTGCCTTTACAAGTTATTAGTGTGGCTCTGTGAATGGTGTGCCATGTTAGATTAACTCTCTCATCTTTCCTTCTTCTCCTTGTTTGTTTTACTGTGTTAGCAATTTTTGTGTTAGTAAAAAAAGTGGGGATTTTTTTTTTTTTTGCCCCTGAAGGTATTTAAGACCTCAACAGGCTAGTCTCAAAGTGTGGTGTTTGCTCCAAAGATTCAAAGTGGCCCATCCTCTTTTGCCTCTCTCCAGTCCAAGGCTTCATGTGGAGCCCAGGAAGACAAAAAGGGAACCGCCAGGAGACCTCAAAAGCTGTCCCCTCCTGTCATGCCTTCCAGGTTACTCCTGAGACCCCTTTCGCTTCCCCCCCCTCCCAGCATGCTCTCCAAACCCTTTGGCATTTCTCCTCCAGCCAGTGGTTTCTGCTGCAGGCAATGGGCATGATGAGTGGCTTAAGGAGATTCGGGGCCTCTCGGGGACCCTGCCATCGCCCCCGCAGCTTCTCCCCAAGTGGCACACAGACGAGCTTTCTTCTCCTGCTTTGGAGTCCTCAGTGAGCCTCTGTGGGAGGGGGAAGTTGGGGAAATGACCTAGAGAGAGAGAGAGAGAGGTGTGTGTGTGGGGGGGGGGGGGGGGGGGGGGGGCCCCCGGGGGGGGGGGAGACCCCGCTCCCCAGAGGGAAAAAGGGGGGTGGGGGGGGGGGTTGGCCAGGGAGGGAAAACGTCCTTTCAGACTTGCCAGTTTCGGTTAGTGAAGCCTTACAGTAGAGTTGGGTGGGCATCGGGCCTGGACTATCCCCCTAAGGCCTTCTGCCAGTCCATGTCGGTGAGGGCCAGCCTTCTCCAGAGGCGCCTCACTACCTAGAAGGAAGGTGGGATAAAGGAGCGGAAACTGCCTCATCAGGCCGGCCCGCCAAGCCTTGTTCTCTCTTTTCTAGCCCTGGGACTGCAGCCTCTGCCTTGCCTCTCCAGGCTCTCAGTCAGTCTCACGGTGAGCCCTGGAGGCCTTGAGGACTAGCCTCGCCCGGAGCTGAGCTTGCTCGGCCTCATCTCTTGCTCTGGTCTCCAGGCTGTCCTCCTGCCAGAGGTGCTTCCTGCTGGGCCCAGAGGTTTTGAATGATGCAGCTTGGCTTGTGGCCAAGTCGATCCTGCCATGGCTCGAAAGTGAACTGTCTTTGCCCAGCTCAGCCACAGAGACGGCCCCTCCAGGGTGGGGCTGGGCTCTGTGCATGCCCACCTGCTACCCTCCCTCCTCTTCCAAAGGGGGCAGCTGGATGCCTGAAAGGCCAGGGTTCCCAGCCTTCTCCTGATGGACAGAGTCTTGTGGGATGTCCCTGTGCCAGAAGGAGCCCAGTCCACCTTCTGGAGAGCTGTGTCCCATGCCTACCACTGGGGCTCTTCTTCCCCACAGCTTGTGGCCGACTCAAGTAGATGTTTGGTGGGGGAGGGTCTCTGGCTCTGCTTGGGCTCCTGGACAGCCGCATTTCTCAAGGATCTCAAGTCTCCTCTGATTTGCTTAATTGTGCATTGGCTGACTGAGCTCTGGGGTGAAGATAAACAGGGAATGCAAGTCTTCCTTGTTCAAAGGATCAAGATGGAGGACCCTCCCCCATCTCCTATCACTTCTTTCATCTGCCCACCTTTCAGCCCCCCCCCCCCCAAGCATTCCCTCTGGCCTGCTTGTCATCCGGACAGGATAGAGAGGGAGGTAGACTGTTTAACTGTTTAAGAGCCTCTTAAACAGTGGTTAGAGTGCAGTATGCAGGCTACTTCTGCTGATCACCGGCTGCCAGCAGTTTGGCAGATCAAATCTCACCAGGCTCAAGGTTGACTTAGCCTTCCATCCTTCCGAGGTCAGTAAAATGAGGACCCAGATTGTTGGGGGCAAGGGGCTGACTCTGCAAACTGCTTAAAGAGGGATGGAAAGCACTATGAAGCGGTATATAAGTCTAAGTGCTATTGCCCTTCTGAAGTAAAGTTCCTCTGGCTTGCCCATTTGGTCATCCCCACAGGACAGGGGCTTTGTTCTGGGGCTTGTTCTGGGGCTGCCACTAATCCCTGCCCTCCCTTAGTCCAGATTCCCTTGGTGGGGGCAGTCTGGAAGGACCAGAAGGGCATTTTATTGGCCTCATTCCTGAGCCTGTTGCTCTCGGAGAAGGCAGCGCCTTTGAAAGGGACAAGAAAGTTATCCAGTGTAGAGAGCTGACCTAGTTTGAAATCTTCCACTTCTCTAGGCAAACTTTGAGAGGCCAGGTCACCGAGAGAGTGAGAACCTCACCAGGCAGTAAAAATCTGCACCCAAGGTAGGATTTCACATTTCAGGAAAAATGCAAATTCATTTTTAAAAGTTACTTGTAGGCTGAGCTGAAGGGAGGGCAGAGTCAAGCGAGTCATCAGTCTTGAGTCCCTTTGAGAATGAAGTCCTGCTCACTATGAGTTCACCAGTTTGCTTTGACCGTTAGCTGGCCAGATTCTTGTTGAGAGCTTGAGCTAGAAATCAATCTTTACAGCCATTTGAACTGCCTGGATCTTCTGATTTTTCTGGTGCTTGGCATTACTTCAATTAATGGGATTGCAAAGGTAGACTTAGCATTTTTTGCCTTCTTTGTGAACCAGAGTTGGGGTTTGTGGGCGGGGGGGAGGGCGGGGGCTCAGCTGTCTGTCTTCCTTCTTTCCCTCCCTCCGTTTTCTACAGTGAGTTTAGTGGGGAAAACCCCCTCCCCATTGCACAGCAGGAGTTATGCCAAAAGAGACACACATATGGACATTTATAGAGGTCATTAAATGCCACGTACAGAATTTGCCTTTAACATGAATTTTGAATTCCCCGCCCCCAACCCCCAGCCTTCACATCTCTGTTTTAACACAGGTAACAGCCAATCTTGCCTGAAGGCTTCATTCCTGTATTAACTCTCTTGTCTTTGAATCCTTGATGACTTAGACTTATTGAATAGCATGTTCTTGCTCTCTTTTGGCAACGGTTTTCTTTTCCCTTTAAAAGCTGTCTTCTTTCCTCTTCAAAATAATGGATTATTCTTGAATCCAGGTCACTATTTGCACCTCAATTAGTCAGCTGCAAAATGCACAGGAAAAAGCTGTTTCCAAGCCTCTCCTCCCCTTTCTCTCTCTCTCTGTTCCTGCCCTCTCCCCCTCCCCAGCTTGCAGGTGGTCTCACCCTGAGCCTGGCTGGCTTGGGGGCTCTGCGCAAGGCTTGGCCTGGTCAGCAGGGCTGGTCTCTATATGGGAGGCTTGGCTCAACCAGCTGAAGCAAGGCCAGCCTCCCCATTGGGAGTTGCTGTCCCAGATGCTTTAGGGGTAGGACACCGGTCCTCCCCCATGAGGGCTATACCACACTTTCCTCCAATTTATCCACATTGAGGAAGGGCCCAGGCCCGGTGCTGCTGCTGTCTTCAAGGGGAGTGCCCTGTGCCAGCCTCCCGTGGACTGACTGGCTGCGCTTGGCCCACATGAAGCTCAGGCGCTTGGCGTAGCTGTAGCAGGCGCTGGAGGAGGCGTCTCCCATGTCCAGGGAGCTGCTGCGCCTGGCTTTGGCCGAGCCCAGGGTTCCCCAGCCAGCGCCTCCCATCCGGCGCTCTGCACCCTTGGCTGCCCCTGCCTTGGCCTGCCCCTGCTGGTGCTCTGCAGGGGGTGTCCGCTGGGGCAGCAGGCCGTTTGGGTGCCCACCATTGGTCTGTGAGTGCACATTGCTGACCCTGGGCAGGCTCCCGTGGACGCTGCCACAGACTTTGTACTTCACCATCATGACTCCTGTGAAGACTAGCAAGGAAGCCACGATGATGCCTCCCACGGTCACTGTCAGGGCGCCCCCCAGGAAGTGGACGTGCAGCGAATGGCAGTCTGGGTAGGCTTCCTGCGTGGTAAACTGGGCACAGCCTAGCAGGTGGGTGGCTGCCAGCGAAGTGGCCAGGTCATCAAAGATGGCTAAGACGCACAGGTCGTAATCCATGCTGGGCACGAGGTGTTTAAGAAGGAAGTCCTGGCTGCTGGCGGGGATGATCCTGCAGGCAAGAAAAACGGGAAGATTAAGCATCCGCGGCCTCCACCCCTTCCCTCCTCTGATTGGGGGGGGGGGTCCTTTCTCTAGGGACAGAACAGAAGCCCTCATTCCTGGGCAGGGGCCTCTCCCTCCACCCCACCTTCTCTTAAGTAGGCAGCTTCTCTGCACATTAATGGTTTATTATTCTCTACCCCAGTGAATCTTGTGGCCCAGTTATTGGTGCAGAAGGAAAGAAAAGGTAACCGTAGCTGGAAACAGCAAGAGCTGCTGTCCCACCCTGCAGGTCTCTCAGGCCTTCTTGAGAAGCCAGCGGAGTTTCATCTGGTTCTTGAACACTGTCCCTCCCTTGATTAAAGATCCTGAAGAGGGGGGCCTTTCCCCCCCTCCCCCCTTCAGCATTTTGTTTGGGTCCGAGGGCTGAACCCCTGAGAGATGGTTGATGAGGGACCCTGCTGGATGTGACACCAGGGAGGGGGACCTCTGCCTCAGACGGGCGAGAGAGCTGCCGCTTCTCTGCCCAGACCCACCTGCCCAGGAGGACCGAGGGGCAGAGGCTGCCTGCCAACCCGAGCTGCCTCTGGGAAGGAGAGATGATTTCTTTAGAACCATGGCTTGTTTGGGCTGCCCAGTGGCATGAAATGGATCAGAGTGATCCATGTATTCTGTGGTTTTGAGTTTTAAGGTTAGAAATACCTACAAAATGGAGCCATTAGGAAAGAGATTCGTTCTTGCCTGGGTTTGCTGTTCATATTGTGCTGAAGGATTCCATTCATAGAGAATGAATCCTGCAGTCAGAAACCTCTGACTTGCCCTATGCTTGTTCCCTGCTGAAGGAACTGGGCCTGGCTCTTGACCAAGTGGAGCCAAGGCCTACGTCAGTTTCCTTGGGTGACTCTCTGTTTCAGGGGAGCAAGGCCAGAGCTTTTTGGTATGCTGCATGACCTACTGCATCCCCAATCCCCAATCTCGTCCCGCACAGCCAGCTGTCTCACTGGTACATGGTTCAGGTCTTGTGGGAACAGAGGAAAGGGATGAACCGAGGAAGGCAACTCTGTGCCTGTTGTGCAGTCCAACACTTTATACAGAGGGAGAGCCCTCCGGCTGAATGAGCAGCAGAGATGTAATCAGGGAGAGGTCCGTTTGTAATCTGAGAAATCTGAATGGTACCAAAGCGGCCAGGGACCTTCACTGCCAGGACTTCTCCAGGAAGGAGAACCTGAAATGCAGAGCCCTTTGCCTGTCCCTCCGTCTTGAGAGCAGGCCCCATTCCCCACACTGCAGCCCCCCTTACCTATAAACAAGGGCATCGTCCGCAGTGCAGTTGTACTGGATCTGATACATCCAGGCCATGTAGGTCGACTTATCTGCCAGCCAGCGCACCAGGGCTGATGTGGCAGTCACCCCCAGTACCTCCACTCTTTTCTCGGAAGCCTCCTGGGTGGCGTTGGCAGAGCTCTTGGCCGAGGTGGCGATGTCGGAGGAGCCTGGATCCTGCTGCAGCACCGTGATGCTGCCGTTCCCTCGATGAGGCAAGGGGATGATTTTGAGGTCCACGGTGGCTGTCGACTCCCCAGCAGCATTGATGGCAATGCAGGTGTAGGCCCCGTCATCGCGGATGGTGGTCACCAAAAGATCAAGGGTGCCGTTGCGGAATGATATGGCCCTGGAGGAGTTGGCGATGATTTTGTCATCGGGGGAGACCCAGTGGATGACCGGCTCGGGGTCTCCGAGGGCTCTGCACCTCAGGGTGGCCCTTTGGCCTTCCAAGATCCAGAGTTTGTGGGTGTGCCGGGTGATGAGAGGGGGCTCGCAGGTGAAGTCCTCCTCTGGCACAGACCAGAAATACCGGCCCGCCACGTGTTGGGGGGAAGCACAGGTCTCCATGTCATCCTCTCGCGCCAAACGCCGCAGCCACAGCAACTCACAGTTGCAGTGCAAGGGATTTCCTCCAAAGCTGAGCACAATGGTGGCCATGTAAGGGGTTGGGCTGATGGCTCCAATCTGGGAGCGGGCAAAAAGTGGGTCAGGGGGCAGTGTGGAAAGACGATTGGAGGTCATGTCCAGCCGGGAGAGTTTATAGAGTTCATCAAAGGTTCCTTCCATAATGAAGTCAATTAGGTTATGATCCAGGTTCAGGGTGTGCAGGCAAAGCATGCCTTGGATGCCTTCCCAAGGGACGCTGCGCAGGTTGTTATAGGACAGATCCAGGTCTTCCAGAGTCGAGAGAAAGTCATCAAAAGCAGCCCCAGAGATATTGACCAGCTGGTTGTTACTCAGGATGAGATGCTGGAGGTTCAGCATTCCCCGCAAAGCCTCCTCCCTGATCTCTGTCAGCCGGTTGCTGTCCAGGTGGAGCGAGCGGAGGCTCTCCAGGTCCCCAAATGCAAAGGGCTGGAGGGTGTCGATGGTGTTCCGTGAGAGGGTGAGATCCACGAGGCCCGTCATGTTCAGAAAGTCCGGGGCTTCCACCACCCGGATGAAATTGTCAGCCAGGCGTAGTTCCACCGTCCGCCGGTCAATGTTGACTGGAATGAAGAGGAGCCCCTTGTTGGCACAGAGGGTGCTAAGCGAGTCGGAGAGATTTTGGCAGACGCAGTGAAAGGGGCAGGACTCCACCTGAGCTAAGGTGCTCCCCACCATCAGAAGCTGGATCAGGAGCAGCCTTTCCATGGTAGTCGCCTTGACAGGCCCTGGAGGAGAGAAAAACAGGTCAGTGGGCATATAGGGGCTTTGGTAACTTTTTGTCCTTTTCAAAGGTAACTTTTGGCCCTTTCCCTCTTTCTTGGGACCTGGTGCATATTTACTTGAGTTCCCTTCCTGCCTACTAGTCCGCTAGTAGTCCCCTCTTACCACTGGACCACCTCTGCTCCAGGGATCCACTGCTTGTGAACTCAGGGAGTCCACCTCCTTCTTTGTAATTTTAATCTAGCAGTTCTGGCCATGCAATACACAGTAAGTCCATTTTCTCTTCTGTGTGGCATTTGAAGGCTGCTCTTGTATTGCAGTCATCTGTTCTGTAGGCCAAACAGGCCCTGATCTTTTAACTGAATCTCCTCAGGCTTAGCAGCCCACCCCTGAACTCCGGCTCTCCACTGTCCCTTCTGATGCCCACAATTGGACCCACAATGCTCTCCCTGGGGTCTGGCCTCGGCGCGGGGGGGGGGGGGGGGGGGGGGGCGGGATTGCTTTCTGCGCTCCAGCTGAGGCACTGCAAGATTGCATTTGCCCTTTTGGCAGCTGCCTCAGATCCCTTTCCTTCCGTCTCCTGCCAAACCAAGTTTCCCCACCTCTTGTGCCTTTCTTTTTCCTACCCATGTGCAGAATTTCTGCTGTTAAATTTTGTCCTCTTTATTTCAGCCCAGCCTTTGAGGCTGCCCAGATCTTTTTGAATCTTCTGTCATTCCTAATATTAGCGCCTTCTTGCAGCTTTGTGTCATCTGTGGCAACCCCATGTTGGCTTCTCTTAATTGAAGGATACGGTTACAAATGATTTATCAGACATACATTTTTCCATCTTATTTCAGCACAGAGCTTTGCCACTTTTACTTAAAAATCCTTCAGATTAGGAATTTTAGTACTCTTTTGATCACCTGATCGACACCTCTGGGCCCAATATGTACAATTACGAGCCAGATGAAAATCTGAACAAATTAGTGTTCAGTTCACATGAGAAGAGAAGAGAAAGGTGGAAGGCTAAAAGGCGTTTGGTGAAGAAGAACCTGATGCTTCTAGAGGCTTCTGCTGCATGTTGAGATTCATTGCCATCCTTGATTTTAGTTTTCATCCTCTCCTCTCCAGAAAATTTCTGTTTCTGGATGGAATGTTAGCAAGGAGCAAATGGGCTCTCAGGATCAGATTTCGTTAACCTGGTTGGCTTGAGCTCCCTGCTTCCATTTGGAGAGTCCTCCGGGAATCCACTTGGCAGCTCCCGGAGTTCCTGGACTTCAAGGGGGAAGAGAAGAATCAGCTTCTCAGGATCAGTTTTTCACAAGTTGCTCTCTCACCCCCAGGAATTCTTCTAAAATTTGCTGCCACAGAGATACTTAATGTGGCTGAAGGGCAAAATGTAGATAATAACCCTATGATTGTGTTTAATTAATTAAACCAAATTTAAAGTAAATTAAATGAATGTTGGTATTTGTCTTAGCAATACCTTGTTTGTTGAGTGAACATAATTCTAATTAACATTAAATTAAAACTGCATTAGCTTTATTGAGGCTGCACTCAATTTGTTGAGTAAGTCACAGCACACTGCTCAAAATTTAGTGTTGGCCCAAAAGAAGATGGCAGACCATGTCAGGTTCCAAAAACCCACTCCAAGGGACTGGAGCTTAGCCTCTGCTCAGCATAGTGTGTGTGAAATTAGGGCACGGTGCACGCGACTCGTAAAGCCATAATGGAGCCTAGTTAGTTGTATCACAGTTCTGAATTTGGGCAGCAGCATCCGAGGGTCTGAATGCTGCAGTCTGTCTGCTGTGCTGCACATGTGGTCTGTGTGTTGCCCAGCCCATTTTATGGGTAGCCTCTTGTGTGATCCAGACCACTTGACTTGTACAACAAATCATAGTTGTTGTACACCGCTTGGGGGGGGGGGCAAAAGCCCCACTAAGCAGGTATATACAAAAGTATGAAGGCTATTGCTTAACGCATTGTAAGCCGCCCTGAGTCTCTGGAGAAGGGCGGCATATAAATCGAACCAATAAATAAATAAAATAAATAAATAGTTAAACAAACCATGGCTTAGTATAGTGTTGTGTGTAAGAACGTGCTGCCATGGATACCCCCACCTCTTCATTGAATTTTACTGGCAGCTATCTGAGGTTAAGGAGGAGGCATTAGATGTGATGACTTGATTTCAAAAATGTCCAAGGGCTTGCAAAGCCAGGGGGTCCTTCTCTGGGTAGATCCAAAAGAAAAGCTGCTGCTGTTCTGTTTCAGCCTTTGTGAGATGCTGTGTTGTCATTTGGGGAGGCTCAGTTACTTCCGTGGCCCTGGAGGTTCATCCTTAGAACAGGAGATGGTATAAAAAATGGCGGGACAGCTAAGAGGCAAGTAGGCCAGAGCAAGAGAGTGCTGGCACCTGCTGCTTCATGGAGCCTTTTGTGGGGATGTCCTGAGAAGGGGGCAGGTGGCCTCAACGGTGAGACGGGGCCCCGCAGATCTCAGGTCAGGCAGAGCTATTCCGTAAATCTTCTCAAGGAGACTAGGAGCTCTGTGGCCAAATCTCTTGCCTTGTCAAGTTGAGGGAAAATGGCCTCCTGCCTTGTGAACCCCTGGAGCAGAGACCCACATGGGGAGGGCTCCGTTCCCATCCGGTCGTGGGCAGATCTTCTTCTGTGTTGCTGTGGCTTCTCTGCCATGCCTGCCATCAAGCATCTTAGCTGGCTGAGTGGCATCTGTGAGCAACTGCTGTATGGAAGTTTCTGTGAAACGGGCTCAAAACATCTGAAGGGGCTGGGCCGGCCGGGTCTCTGATCATGGTGGTTGGAAGGGAAAGAAGCTGTGCCGAGGATTCAAAGGTAGCCTCATCAGTTCCTAAGGGTTGGACCAAGTAGCTGGGATGGCTGCTCAGCATTTTCTTTGAAGGGAAAGGAGGGCAAGATGCACCTGGGCCTGTAGGTCCTTTGTGCCTTGGATTTGGATTATAAGTATTTATTTATTAAATTTATGTGTTGCCCCATCTCACTCTGAAACTCTGGGGATTCTTCTAGGGAAATTTCAATTTTTCCATTTGTTGCTTGGCCAAATGCTGTATACAATAATTTCTTTTAATAAATAGCCACTCTTTTGTTTATAAAAGACTTCTTTTCAAAATCTTTAACTCAAGCTTTTGAAGACTAGAATGGTGTAGCTTTATGTTAAAAAAACAGACTTTGAGAGGAGAAATTGATAATCTAGACATGGCCTCCTAACAGTCAAAACAGTCATCTATAACTAGAATAGATAAATCTGTAATTCTGCATCCAAGAAAGCAAAGGAAAAATTAATTAATTAAAAACCAACACTAGTGAAGCCCTTCTGCTCAATAGGGCGCAATAGGGTATTGTTGTAAACAGAAGAACGTTGAAACATGAAACAACCTTTGTGGGTTGACACCCTGAAACTCTCTCTCGTGGGGAGAAGCTCTGACTGGATAAAACGATCTACAAAGGAAGGGAGGAAGCTTTTGAATGCCAGGCCCTGATTTTAACGGGTGACCAGAACAGGGGCCAGATGGAAAGGGAAGAGCCGAGAGGAATGGATGATTAAAGCCATGAGAAAGACCATTTTTAAAGAATTCTTCAGAGTGAGGTAGGCAAGACTGGTGACAATGTCTAATTTTTTTGAGTGGTTAATATAAAAAGAGTCTCTGCCCTTACCCCAACCAGAACAGGTACCTCTATTGGAGAAGCTGGCAATTATGGGGAGCCTGGATCACTCTCAGTCAGGGGTCAGGCCTGGGCCTGAGACTGGCACCGCATTGGTCACTGTTGGTCAGCTGGATGGGGGGGTGTCTTCAGTACGAGCAACTGTGGTGGTCTAAGCTGCCTGCAGTGGTTGGAGTCAGCTATCCCCCCCCCCCCCAAAAAAAATCTGAGTGAAGCCACTGGAGAGGTCATCTGTCAGCATGAATCTCTGCCCTGGAACAGAGATGGGGAGGAAGTTTTGATCGTGCCTGGATGGGGAGAAACATGGAATGGAAGGCCTTCCAGATTCCTCCAGAAGGAGGTGGCCCTCCACCTGGGTATACTAAGACATAGGAGGGCAGACATCCAAGGAGCCTTCAGGAATCAGTCCTTTGCTATGGCTGTGCTGTGTTTTTATCATTTTTTTTAAAAAAAATAATAATTGTGGTTAGCTGATGGAACTAGTGACCCAAGGGCGTTGGGAAGGTTTTTCATCTGATGCTGGTCTCCCCTTCTTGATGAACTTCCTCCTCCCAGGAAGATGTGGCCTCTCCCAGGAACCCTTGGCCTCTTGGCACTGGCAAAGCCTGCAGCTGTGAAAGTTGTGGGACTGGAATGAACCTAGACCTGGAGCAGCTCCTGTCTGTCCTTTTCTTGGTCTCCCTCCTACTGGCACTCTTCCACCTGTCACAGAACATAGAATAATAAAGTTGGAAGGGAACCTGGACGTTTTTGAGATCCAACCCCCTGCTCAAGAAGGAGAGCTATAGCATCCTGGACAAATGTCTTCTTAAAAACCTCCAGTGATGGAGCAGCCACAACTTCTGGAGGCGAGTAGTTCCACTGATCATTCTCACCATCATCTCCTTATTTCTAAGTTGGATCTCACTTGAATGGTCTTTCACCCCGTCTTGCCCTCAGGTGCTTTGGAGAATAGGTTGACCCCTTCTCTATGGCTGCCCCTCAAATATTGGAAGACTGGTATCATGACACCCCTAGTCCTTCTCTTCGTTAGACTAGACACACCCAGTTCCTTAGCCTCTTGACTCCTGATCATCTTTGTGGCTCTTCTCTGCACTCTTTCTAGGGTCTCAGCATCTTTTTCGTATTGTGATGACCAGAACTGGATACACTATTCCAAGTATGGCCTCACTAGTGTCGTATAAAGTGGGACTATTACTTTATGTGATTTTGAAACTACCCTTTTGTAGATCTAAAGGCCCTCTAGGGTTCAGAAGCATCCAGGCTTTCCCTATAAGTCCAACCCCCATTGAATAAATGCTCTTGTGATTCGTTCATCTCCCTCAATCATCTTCCACTCTGGCTCTCTGCTGGCGTGGCAGCATTGGCACATGGCCTGCATCAGGGTGGTGATAGACCCAGATCATAAGTATTCCTCGGCCCCCTTGGGCTGCAGATGTCCAGCTGGGCTAGGCTATATATTTGGTAGGTATATTCTGTGTGCATAGAAAGGGGAGGGCATGCACTGGGGCGGTGGGGGGGGGGAGTTGTGTGTATGTGGGGTGATCTTAGTTGTTCAGCACTTTTCTGATTCAGACACTGGGGGCTTCAATTTTAACCACTCTCTGTCCAGGCATGGACCTAAGTGGAGAGGAAGCAGATTCACGGAGGCAGCTTTAATAGGACCATATAACATGCTCCCCACCCCCGCTCCAGATACTGGTTGCTGATGGGGAGGGGGCAGCTATCCCTCAAGAGCATCCAGGAGGGCAGCAGGTGCCTCAGGGCAGGGAGAGCCCCTGCCAGCTCAGGGACTCCTGAGGCAATTTTGATTTGGGGGTATATTTGGGGTTGGGGCTGGGGTGGGGAGTGAGGCTGAAGGGTGGAACCATCTTAAAGCAATCCAGAGTTGTAACCAAAGTGACAAACATTTGGGGGATTCTGGGGGATTGGAAGGTTCCAATCTCAAGGCAGACAGCAGTCCTTCACCAAGGCTCCCCCTCCCTGTTCTAAGTGGGAGATGCTGGGCTGTGGAAGAGGACCACGGATGGCAACAGGCTCCCCAGTTCTCAGGGGCACCTCAAGTTGCCCTTTCCCTTCCTTTTTCCTTCTCAAGACCAGGATGAACCCTGGTCGCACTGCCTGGGATACAATGGGGGGGGGGGGGGGGGGAGAGTGGAGTAAGTGGGAATGCCTGGGAGGCAGGAAGGATGATTTGGCATGGATCCAGCCTTACAGGTCTGGATCCAGGATAGAGAGAAAGGTCAAGGAGCAAGGAGTGGGGGCACATGTAGGGGAGACCCTGCTGTGTCTGTCATAGCACAAATTTCCTACAGCTGTTGGGGTGGGGGTGGAAGGCTTACGATATATGTTGCAGCAGCACTGGTCGTTCTGCAGCCCCCCCCCACTTCGAAGACCCCCAGTCCTCACGTGTATCTGTCCCTCTCCTGCCCAACACAGCTTTACCTTCTCCTTGGCCTCTGGGCTCCCCAGAGATGAGCTGTGGCCGTCCAGCTGCTCCCCACACGGAGTCACCTGTCCCTGTGCCTCCTTCTCAGCGTCTCCTGAGCAGGCTGTGGCCCCAGGGCTCCTGTCGGCTCTTGGGGTGCCATGGGGAGGTGCCCAGCTGCCTTGGCAGAAGAGGCTCGGGGTGGCCGAGGGCAGCATCCAGCCTGCAGGCAGAGGAGCATCCTCGATCCCCTCCCCCAGCCAGAGAAAAGAGAAATGCTGCAGCTTCAGGCAGGCGGAGTGGCGGCAGCCATGCCAAGCTCTTCAAGCCCCAGTGCTGATGAGGGAGAGGCACCACTCTCTGGATACCCTGGCTCATCCGGTCCTTCGCACCTTGGCCCATCAGGTTCTGGCTACCCCAGCCTTCTCAGGCCTTGGGGTTCCTGATGGTCCCAAGGGGGATGGGGTGCCCAGGTGTGTCCGGTCCATTCTCAGCCTTTCAGCCCTCAGGACTCCCGGTAGATTCCATGGGGTATCAACTGGAGCTCTCTCTCGGAGGGGAGTGGGGGACTAGTTCTTCTGGCAGCCTTAAATTCTGAATCTCCAGCCCAGGCCCATTCCAGGGGCCCCACAGCTGGGTGTCTGTCTTTCAGCTCTGGAAAAACCCCGGCTGCTGCAGTTCCCCCATCTCCTCTCTTCTGGATGCTGCCAGCCTTCTTTCCTTCCGGAGACCCAGTGGCTGCTCTTCCATCCTCCTGCCCCCTTAGACCAGTTGTAGATGGTTCTTCTTGGGTCTCAGTCCTTCCTCTGTGCCGGTGGGGCTGAACGTCTCTGGACCGTTGCCATCTGGATTCCTGGCACTCCTCCTCCACCCTCCTTCAGGCACCGGAAAGTCTTGAGGGATCGGGCAGTCGCAGCTTTCCCAGAATGGTTTCTTCGACAGCCCCCCTTCCTGCAGCCCCTCTTTGTTTCTGCCAGCCTTTCTGCTGCTGCTGCTTCAGTGCGCAGGAGGGGTGACGTGAGGAGGAGCAGCCTGCCCGCAACCCGTGCTCTCCCGGCTCCCGCCTGCTTTGGCCCCCTCCCACCCCGCTGCCTCCTCAAGCTGCTCCTGTTCCAGCTGGGGGAGGGCTGAGTGGACAGAGGCTGGGCTGCTGCTCTTCTTCCAGGGGACGGCCCTGGACGCCTCGCCACATCCTCCTCCTTGAGCTCTGATTGGGGGGAGGAAGATGGAGGAGCCGAAAAGGCCCTCCCTCTCTCCCTCCTTCCCAGCCTTCCTGGGGAAGAGAGACTGATGGAGCAGCTGCTCAAGAGGAAAATTCTCTTCTCTTCCAGGAATCTGGGGCACCAGCCAAGGCCCTTGTGTTACGAAAGGGAGTTTATATTCTGAAATTGAACATTACGTTTGTACCCTTGTCTTTTTAAGATGCGCTGGCTGGACGCTCTCTCTGATCTGGGAGGTTTTCAAGTATTTATACACCTTTCCCCTGACTCCTCCTCCTCAGAATTGTAGAAGGAGAGAGAGCAGCCAGGTTATCTTCATCCTGTTGCCCTGGGTGATGGTTGCTAGGAGGCGGGCTTCCCTTAAGGGGAGAGGCATCCTGGACCAGCCCAGGCTCTTTTGGCCCTCGGACCTCAGAGAGGGGAGGTGGGGCAGCAGGGGAAGAGGAACATTGGACCCCCAAAATGGCGATTACAATTTCCTGCTTCAAGTATTCAGACTTGTACCTCAGTATTGACCCTCTGAAACAATCAAGTCCTGAGATAGTTCTGCACTTCAGGGAAGGCTGCTCCTAAAATGAGCATGAAAGGCATCTTTATTCAAAAATGTGTAAGTTTCTCTCTCAGGCTCATATAGGTGAACTCCAGTTTCAGTTTTAGAGCTAGGTTGAGGTACTTGAGGAAGGTTCGCAGAAAGATTTGGTGGGCCAGAAGGGAGCCTGAGTGATGATGTCTCACCGGCACGGTGGCAAACCCTCCTGAGAAACAGGGTTGAAGCAGCTTGCAAAGGACAAGCAGACAAGTAACCAGCCAGAGCTTGGGGGCCACCAGATGTCCTATGGGCAGATGCTGTGGATGTGAAATGGGCTCCTGGGCGTTTGGGAGCCAAAAAGCCCCAGAGGGAGGTCTTGGGGCAGGTAGTCATGTCCACTCTGAATACGAGGTTCCTTGGCAGCCCTGAAGAATTACAATGTTGGACCAGACGAATCACTCCAAGAAGAACCTCTTGGAAGATGCTTGAAGGTCCATTGAAGGTGGGCCAACTGCAGGTGACTTACTGGAATGGAAGTTAACGTCTTCAGGAAATCAGTAAAGTCAATAGGTCAATAAATAAATACATTCGTCACCATCGCAAAGGTCAATAAATAGCTTGGTGTCTTAGCTTGATAGAACTGTTTATTGAAGTATCTTTTTTCCCTCAGCTGGCCTGGTTTGCTTCTGTTGTGCTCTCATGCGCTCGTTCTTGGGCAAAGTGTTTTGGAGAACTCTAGAGAAAATTCCCAATTATTTCAACTTTGGGGCTTCCAGGAAGGGTCTGCACCTGTCTATGACCTCATCCTTTAGTGGGGACTCAGGGAGTGGCCGTTCCATTGGCTTGTGCATCAAAAGTGTTGTGTTCCTTGAGCAAATGTGCTTTTGTGGATGGGTCTGCATCCAGGGACAGATGCCACTGTGGGGGCCTTGAAATATCTTTGTGGAGGGGTCACAGAGTAAGTGTAACTTGGTGTAAATTATAACTGCAGTAACGGAATGTCTCTGGAAGGCTACCTGCCCTTCCTAGGCAAAGTTGGTGTTTTGTTTCTGTCCCAGAAGCTTTTCTGCTCCAATGAATCTGCTATGTGAGTTGAGTGATCTTTTGTGTCATTCTGTCTATCAGACCAGATTCCAGCAACTCCTGAAAAGATGGCAGCGTTCTGTGCCATTGTTTTTATGAGGCAACAGTGAGAAGTCAAGCCAATCAATCAGCCTAGTTATTTTGTTTACTGAATTCTTTCCTGAGTTGGGATTGTCTCTCTTCTGCCTGTTTCTTGTGCTGGCTCAGGACCTTGCAATGAGGGTGGTTCGTGTTGAGGTCTCCTAGTCTTGGGGCAAGTCGGCAGCCCCAGTGATAGAAGAAGAAATAGTTTTGGGGTTCAAGAGGCCCAATTTGTTTTCTTGCCCGACACGCGGTTGAAAGCCAAAGCCACCAAAAGGACCGTTTTTCCATAGAGCAATAAGAGGATGGTGTCCACAGGAGAGGTTGGGATTTGTGGCGCACCAGCACTTCTTTGTGGGCAGGACAGGCAGATACAAAAGGGATGGACTCTACCTGACTATCAGAGTCCTGCCCTGATGGCATTAAATATCAAAAAGGTGGGAAGCAATGGTTAAGAAGGTGAACCCATCCTGGGCTCTGAGCACATCTGGTTGGGGAGCACTGGCAGAGCAGAGGTTCCTAAACTTTGTAATGTACGCTCCTATGCTAAAAATCCAAACATCCAAATGGACACTAATGAACCATGAAAAGAATACAGTGAAACTTTGGGAAAGGGGGACTTATTGTAACTAAAAAGTTCTTCACGGGGGACCCCTGGGGACCCCAAGGGAGGAATGTCTCAGTTGGGACCCTGCCCTGCATGAGGAAAGGGAAGGCAATTCTAGTGTTGAAATTGGGATTGGTGGGTTGGGAAAGGCCGTGTGGCCACCACGTAAAGTGTGGTGATACGCAGTGACAGGGCTTCTGAGTGACAACCTCCAAAGATATTTAGGAGGACTGAAAGGACTTGCAACTGTTTCCCCTGTTCCAGGGGTGAAATCTAAAATTTTTCCCTACCAGTTCTGTGGGTATGGTTTGGTGTCTCTTTCTGGGCACATGGCTTCTGCCTGTTGGGCCAGCCGCTTTGCTTTTCCCCTCTTTTTCCTCATGGGAGCAGAAGCGTGGTGGCTCCAGCAGAAGCGCTGCGGGGAAGTGGCCCAACAAGAAGAAGCGCTGCACCCAGAAAGAGAAGGGCAAGAGGGGCCAGTGGGCTGCAGAGGCGAAGACAAGCTCTGGGGCAGCAGTGGCGCTCCGGGAGAGAGGATGGATGTCCCGGGGCTGCACATGCAGTGCCACCACCGCCAGCTCTCTTGGCCCCAGCGCATGCGCAAGAGGCTCAAAAAACCAGGTTACTTCCTGGTTAAAACCAGGAAGTAATGACTTCTGGGTGGGTGGGCGGAGCCTCCAGCTGCCATGGCTACCGGTTCTCCGAGCTACCGGCCATCATCGCTACCGGATCTGCCTATCCGGTCCGATCCAGGAGCATTTCACCCCTGCCCTGTTCCCCCTCTCAAGCTCATCTTTCAGTGGAAAAGGCCATTTCCCAGGGTCCTCAGGGTCTGGCCTTAAACACAGGTATTTGGTGCATCCATAGAGTGGCAGGGTGGGGGAACCCCAAAGTCTACTTATTATATTAATTGGGACTAAACTAAAAAGGACAAATGAGGATTCATGTTGAATTACAGGAAAATGTCAGCCCGGTGCTAAATTCCATCCTCCGAATTTTTAGGAAAAGAATGAAAACACGAAGCCTCCAACGTAAAAACATCCTGATATAAATCTGTCGCTTGAAATACTGTGTACATGCCTTATCACCACACCTCAGAATCCATGTTTAGGGCTGGAAAAGATGCAGAAGGGAAGCCAGAATGATGAAGGGGGGGAGCAGCTCCCATCCTGGGAAAGATTGTGGTAGAAATTTGCTTTCAGCTCAGAGAAAAAGCAGGTGAGGGAAAATCTCTAAGAGGGACATCTTAACCTGGTATGGTTACAAGAAGCCTTTTTCTCCTTCCTTCAGCATTAATACCTTTTACTCAGTGTGAATATTCAGGAGTTTTTACCCAAAGCAGAAATAATTAATTCCTGCTTTAATGGAATTTCATTGTTGTTGTTTGCTACTATTTCAATAGTTTTAAGGTGTTGGTTGTTTGGGATTATTTTAATTTTGGATGCCATATTTATTATTTTAATGTTAATATTTATGATCTTAATATTTTAATATTTTACCTTGTTTTTATACTGTAAGCTGCCTAGAGTCGCTTTCAGGTGGCTTAACAACAACGTAAAACATTAAAACATTAAGATCATCAATATTAACAAAATTGGCAAGGTAGGGGGCAAAGCACAAATAGGTTGGAGATAGAATCTTTCCTTAAATTGATCAGTGGAGCGACTTTCCTCCAGGGATTGTGGGGGCTCCAGCACTGGAGGTTTTTGAGAGGAGATTGGACAGCCATTTGTAGGGAATGGTCTCCTGCTTGTTCAGGACGTTGGACTAGAAGACCTCCAAGGTCCCTTCCAACCCTGTTATTCTGTTATATAAATGAATATGAGTGGTGTGGCATACAGTGGAATGGAACAGAACCTCTCATGTGCTTCTCTTAGGGCACTGACTCTCCTGACCACCATCTCACCTTGCTGGATGGCTTGTGTTCAGCCTGTCAGAGACAACACCAACTCTTTCTTCACCTTGTAGGTGTGCCCCACGCTTTTCCTTTCCAAATGCAATCTTCTGCTGGAAGAGCCCTTGTTTCTTTCCACCTATCTTCTAGCCACTCTGGATGAGAATACACTCTTGCTCCGTAGACCTTCCAATTTTGTGTCCGTGGATTTCTTGTATCTTGGATCCTATCAAGGCCCCTATCAGCCACAAATGACAGAGGAAGCTCGATTCTCATAGAATTTCATTCCTTAGGTTTGATATCAGCTAGGTAAGGGAATTCTGGAAACTAGATAAAAATGCTCCAGCCTCATTTCTTAAGTGACAGACTTTCCAATGGAAGGATTGATGACTTGCTGAGGCACCCTCCATAAGATCTCCCCATTTGAGGGGCCCTTCGTCTTCCTCTTCTGTTGGCCTCTTTTCTTGCTGGACTTTCCCCAGTGGTCAGCCTTAGCTCACTTTCTAAATGCTATGGCTACGTCATGTCACACTTTAGGACCACATTGATTAGCAACAACAAGCTAGCCACTCCCAGTTGTCATCGTAACCTGAGGACTGCCTTTACGCAGACAGTCTTATGGGAAAACAATAAGAAATCAGGGTCTAAAAAGAAAAACACTGCAGGAGACAGGCAAGAATTCACAGTTGTCAGATGCAAAGCTTGTGGCATATTTAAGTGTCTGGCGGTATTAGCCCCAAAGTGCCAGCTGGAAGAAAAACCAAGTGCTGTTGATACAGAACAGTAACACTTTTTTATTATTTTTCCCCACAGTTTTGCAACTCATGAATAATTGCTTGTTTATTGTTCTGTTGAATTGGATATATTTTCCTTCTACGAATCATATTTATATTAGTATGGATTAATATACATTATAATAATCATGCAGATGTGAACATAGCCTGCCTGTGGCTGTGTTTGGACAAGGTAGGGAAAGTGATCAAGAGCTGAGTATCTGCACCATAATACTAGTCACTAATTCTGAAACATTTTTTGGCCTTCAAGTCTGTTTTGACCCTCAGTGGCTACCTGAAATGGGATGACCCTGGGGAAGGAGGGCAAGAGATGCTGCCTGGGAAACCCTCGGGCAAGGGGGGGGGGCAGAGACTGAAGGATCAAGCAGTGAAAAATGAGGGCAAAGAGGAGGTTTTTACTTTCAGACTTGCAAAAGTCTGTTAATGTCTCTGTACAATGCAGGTAGTCCTCAACTTACGAGCACAATTGATCCCAAAATTTCAATTGGTAAGCAAGATAGTTCTTAAGTGAGTCACGTCCCACTTTACTACCTTTTTGCCACTGTTGTTAAGTGAATCATAGGGTCGATATGCCAATCTGGCTTCCGCCATTACCTGGCTTATGAGAAGCCAGTTGGGAAGGTTACAGATGGTGATCCCGTGACCCCCGGATGCTGCAACCCTCTTAAATACATGCCCGAATTCTGATCATGTGACCATGGGGTGCTGCAGTGGTCATAAAGTGCCCATTTGTTCAGTGCCATTGTAACTTTGAACAGTCAGTAAATAAATGGCTGTGAATCGAGAACTACCTGTCAAGCGATATTGGCTCATCTGGTTGTGTTTTCTGTCTGGTTTACTGGAAGGGCTGACACTACCTGAACCTGAAGTCTCTGCACATTTCTTGCCAACGTTTTGCAGAAGCAACTTGCCTTTGCCTCCTTCCTGGGGCTGAGATACCTCAAAGTCACCCAGCTGGCACGGGGTCTACAGGAGGCAGGAATCCTTTCTAATCCACTGCCTTTTAAGCACTACCCCAGACTGGCTCTTGCTGAGCAGTAATGCTAACTAATAACTTGGAATTGGGGGAGAAAGGAAGCTGGGTGGGGATTGGGGAGTTGGGGGTGGCCTTGTGGTAAATTGCAAAGGAATAAAGGTCTTCCAGGAAAGTGAAAAAAATCTTCAAAGTTAAACATAGTTTCTGTTC